ACCTTAGCTTCTTTCAGGTACTGGGAGTAATGCCACGCCACTGCAGATAACACATTGATAGGTGATAAGAATGACTGAAATGGCATGAGAGGTCTGTCATTAATCTGTGGGTTCGAGTATCTGCACTACATACAGGATCTCTCATGTCCAAATCCTGCGATGCTGCACTGAATTCCTGCAGGAAGCTGAGTGCGAAGCGGAGGAAGACACACTGTCCGAGCAGACTCTGACTTCACCGCACATCCTCCACTTCTGCTTTTGATCTTCAACAGCGCTGAAAGACAAAGACAAAATGTATCTTAGCACCATTGGGCTCTTTTTTTACTGACTCACAGTCCTCGTTTCCACCAAAAGTAGAATAGGACCCTGTATGGTGAAGAAACAGTAAGGTTGATTCTAAGGGCATGTGGCCGACAGGATCAAGTATTTGAATATTCATTTAAGTTTTAATGTTTGCAATATTAATTAATTTTAAATTTTTCCTGGGGCTTATAATAATAAAAAAGTCATTTTTGAAGGGATCGAAAAGTTCCTCAAGACTGTAGTTGTCTGCGCTTCAAACAAGGCCTCTTGAGTCCTTAAAATGGAACTTGTTGAACTTGGAAGTAATAAAGTCGTGTTGTGAATTTGTGTACAGGAAAGGCTTTGGGTTTAAGTGTGAAAACACTTACGACCATGCGCTCTGCCATTTTTTGAAAATGTCATCAAGCAAGTCCCAACCCGTGAATCGAAGCTTTCAGAAAGATTTGACTTAAGATCACGTGAATGGTAATTAGAGGGAGGTGTTGAAATGGTGTCATGATGCTATTTGAACTGAAGTCTTTTGCAATTGAAAGAGTTGAATGCCATCAGTGCTTTACCAATCACAAATGTTGAGCTTCGTAAAGTTCCAGTCTCCAGTACTTGTACTTTCAGAAAGCTATAACTCCCCTGCAGACCCATAGTGAAAATGTATCAGTACCTCCTAAAGTCCCTAATCCATGTGGAAAGTTCCTGCTCTGGAAACGCAGCTGTGTTCTTTCACATGGTGCGGTTGTGCTTACCTATGTCATTGTCAAAATTGGACTCGTTGAATTTCTGATGGATGATGAGTTTCTCCACCGTGAAGCTCTGTTCCTTGTCAGCTTCAGTTTCATTGATGGCAGACTTCCCCAGGTAAACAGACAGATGCTTGATGTTGGTGTCGTCGCTGAATAGAAAACACAAATGGTTAACATAACCACACAACGGTGTAGTAAACATATTGCACACCCCGATGAGTCATGTTGCTATTAAAGTAGAAGTATTGCAGAGGAGGAAATGATAGAGTGCTGTGTTTTTTTTTACTCACCCGTCTGAGAAACAGTGTGCGGCTGTGACAACCCAGCACGGTGCGATGAGAGAGCCACCACACAGGAAACCAGAACGCTGCTGAAAGAGGGCAGCCACCCATGGCTGAGACTCGATAGGTGAGAAGGAGCCACCTACAATTTTATTCAGCCTCCGCTCAGACCTCTCCCCACATGTCAGCTCTGCAGGGACACAAAGTCACAAGTCATTGAGTGAAGCTGAAAAACAGAAGCACCAAAAAAGAGATGATGGAACAGCTTTGGACAGCATTCAGACAAACAAACCTGTATCCACGGCCTGAGGAGGTTTCACCGTCTCTGTAGAACCTGTGAGGGAGCAAGAAACAGAGATCACTACAAAGATCCAGCCAAACATTCAATATAATGGTTAATTAATTATTTTACTATCTTACTTACATCTGGGAATATCACAGAATTCTCTTAAGTACTTCTGTCCTCTGCGGACACGACACCACGGCATCAAACTCCCGTTTGGATTCCTGGAATTCAGATCAACTCATATTCAACACATGATAGCTCTCCCTCATATACATTTTTCAGATAAGATATTAAACGATTCTATGCATTTAAACGATAAGATAAGATAAGTTATCGTCCAGTGTTTTGATGCAATGGCTTGACTGTGATTGCAGCTGCTGTATAAGTGTCATATTCTGCAACAGTATTTATATATCTATCTATGATACGATAAAGCACACATATGAGGATAGGACAGGACATAATAAAATATGACACAAAAACATACAATTTAATTAGATGCAATATAACACCACATGATACACTACTTTACGATTCCATACAATCAAAAACATTAAACATACTATCATATTTGGCCAATATTTGACAAATATATTTGTACCGTATCATGTCATAACCGTACACTTTTACTGTAATTTTGTCTTGGACTCGAATGCTGCACACTTTAATTGATGAAGGGGATTGGAAGTATACCTGCAGTAGTTATGGTCCCCAAGTCCTTTTGAAGCTCCTCTTGGTTGAGTGAATCTGTTCCAGTTGATGCATCTGCTTCCGTATGCCGACTCTGACACAAATCCTCTGTAGCTGCTCCGTCTCCAGACCGACACATCTCTGCAGATAACATAACAAAAAGAGAGAGATGGGATCATTTCAAATCTGGCATCACAGTTATATTTAGAATATTAAGAATACGTTGCACTGAGTGTTGGCTCACCATTGTTAGTCTCCCGGGGCTCAGGTAACCATCTCTTTTTGGACCTTTTTCCTGAAAAAGCCTGAGAAAGAGCACACACAAACACATTTGAGACTAATTTAGAAAAATCTTCTGAGTCCCGTGGGAATGACAATAAAACCTCTATTTACTTCCTCATTTTTATGCTTACCACATCAACACTTAGAGCGGCAAATACAGCGAGGATGACTAACAGGTTCATCTTCACTTCTGGTTCCACTTCTCCTTATTGGGGATATTTTTGTCTGCAAAAAAAAAAAATCCAGAAATGAACAACATTGTACCTCAGAATCCAAAGCCCTGATGGCCTTATATGGACTTCATCTTTGAGCACATGACTGAACAGACATGTGTGTCTACTGGAAAGACGCGTGGATCCTTGTCTGGGTTAAAGTTTCACATCACACAGTATGCATTGTACATTTAATTTGGAGGGGAAGACCATGCTGTGGAGGTTTGAATGTGCAAGATAGAGCATGCTAACTGCGTGCGCTCTGTTCTGTAAACGTCATCTCTATCTGTAAAGTGAGGACATTATCTATTTAGGCTGATTGCTGCACAAAATAACATCGGTTTTATTTTGCAGAGTGTACAGTTCAAACATAGATCTTATAGATATTTCAAGGTCACAGTATAAATTTGATACTGACAAAAGAATGGTTCAAACTTTATTTTCATGCCCAATTTCTGCAAACAAACACTTTGATGTGCGTATAGATTAAAGCTCCTTTGAGGATCTTTTGGATCGTGTTGACTTTGGTACCCTCTTCGGACGGGGCGAGATGATTTATGTAGTTGATAATCTTTTCCTGTACAAGTGTTCGGAGTGTTTTCTGCTCAACTCATACTGAATCTTTGGTATGTAAACTATTAAAAAAGGTCGTTCAGGCAATGTGCTGTTCATCAGTTTGTCTGACATCTTCCCCACGACAGGAGTGACAGGGATATAAAATGACTTTATAAAAGCAATAAGTCTTCTCTCTTTTGCTTTTGATGGTGGTATAGAGATTTCTGCATTTATTTCAGTTTATTTCTTTACCAGATCAAATCTACACTCAGGAGCTTTAAGTTTACTCCTTTGAAATACAGTTTGTCTCCGTTCCCTTACCTGAAGTATGTGAATGATTTGCTTCGAAAACTATTTGTATAATTCTGTTTTCTTCTTGTGCAAATATGATTTCACCATGTTGATCTTTTCAGTTAATATCTATTTCAAGTCTTCAAAGACAAACATCTGACCACATTAACAAGTTGCAACGTCAGTATATTTTTATATATTCTAAACGAGTCAAGCCGGAAATTGAACACTCTAGGCATGTTTAGTCTCACTAAAACCACAGAACCTAAACACACACAGACACACACAATATATGATGTTTAAGATCACGTTATTTCACATAAGAAGACCATGCACGGCATAAACACAGACATGATTTTTACAAACCATTTTGTACCGTTGTATACATTTTCCTCAATACAAAACAAGTCCCTCTGTGTGGTTCTCTTCTTTTTCATATCCGTGTGAAGGATTTGCTTGAAATCTATCTAAAATGCATCCATCTTTAGTGTGCACATTGAAATCTGTACAATTAAGGTCTTTACACGTCTATGACATGAATCATTTAGAAGTTAATTCAGATTGGTTTTCCTGCAGTAACTTTTTTTCTGGGTCAGGTTTCTCCCTGGGAGTCAATGTTTTATGCAGAAGGTGACATACACTGTACACATAATAAACCCCAATGAATAACATTAATGATCTTCAATATTAGGCACTGTAAAGAGACTCAAACAATTTAACTTTTGTCAAATATCATGGTCATCAAAAGCTTTGTGAGAGAGATATTTACCTTTGTGTCTGGACTCGTACTCCTGATGAGGCTCTTTGTTATCTTGTCTCGCTGAGGTGATGCTGTATCCTCTGATTTGTGCTGGTCCTCCTTGCTCTCCCTCCCATTTAAAAACACACCGGCTGCAGTGGGAGGGGTTTAGTGTGAGGAGGGCTTGAAAACATCACTGCATCTCTGTTGCTGATCGGCAACGTATTGTCTGAAGCATTCATCACTTCCTCTCTGACACAGACACACTTCACACCCCCTCCTTCCCCTAAAACCACAGTAATACAGCTTTAAGAAACATACATCATGTATCCATAATTGGTCATGTCTGCAGCTGTTGGTACAAAGTCCCACATCTGATTCAAAGGTAGAAGTACAGGTTAAAAGTAAATTCTTAGAACTCTAAATTTGAGACACAACAACGATTTATTTTTACCACACACACGTTGCACAGGATGGAATCCACCCAACTTAACATTTGACATTTTTTCTTTAAATTTCCCCTCTTGAATCTGTGAAAGTATAAAAACAGTTTTTCCCAAGTATATTATGATGTACCAAATATGATCTGCATTTGCTTGGTCGTGCTCCCGTCAAATGCTCTCATTTAATCAGCATAAGGTGTCCCATTTCATGAAGGTACATCATTAAAGGTCATGTGAGAAACTGTCTATATGTGTCTATATATGTCCTGTTGACAAAGTTGTACCTCTTAACCCTTTGCTGATTTTGTCCTGTTCATGTGTCAGAAAAGTTTTGCACTTTGCTTTCTGTTCTGTCATCACTTTGTCTGGCACCTAAAGTTTCAGGCATTCAAAATTACTGTACAGAAAAAGTCAATCATGTCCCCGAGTGTATCGTTTGCTTTTGTAACTCTTTAAGAGGCATCAGTATGACTTTCAGTCAGTTTAATAATCAGGTGAAAACTCCTCACAGGAGCTTTAAATGCATAAAATGTGTAGTTGTCCTCTGCTCCATTTGATTCAGATTGTATATCTATTAAATGTCAGTATCATCATCATCAATACTATAGAACCATTTAAGAGTCTATGTGGAAATATTTCCTTTCATGTATTGCAGGCGGTTGAATTTGTAATCATCACAATGACTCAATTCACACAACAAAAGAGACAAATGATCACGTATCAAGCATCAGTGAATTTCCAGATTTTCCTTACCTAAAGTGTTATGCTGCAATATATGAAATCAACCTAACTAATCTTTATTTATAATCCACCGTTCATACAAACATTCAGCCCGTAGTGCTTCGTATGAGAAAAAAACTGTTGAGAAATAACAATAAATAAAATTCAATTCAATTCAATTCAAACCTTTATTTATTCTCCAAAGGATACTGAGGTTTCCCTCATTTCCAATGCCGTCGAGATCATAAGCACAATAAAACAACAACAAACGCTTAAAATCAATTACAAAAAGCACTGAGCTAAATCAAAAACAGTTACAATTTGAAACAAAGTATCTAGAAATCACTAAAGACTTTAAGACTTGTGTATTCTTACTCTTTCACCCCAAAGCTTATTTGCTTTATTTGTTTGTTTGTTTTTAATGATTGTTGCATTACTTGTCCATCAGTCTGTGACCTCATTAATAAAGATGCTACTAAAAAACAAATGATCATTTTTCTTAAACGTAACAAGCAGGACGCTTCTCACTCTGAGCATGTTTTTCTTTTTTTTTTATCGTTAAAACCAATTACACACAAAAATCAGAACCAAAGGATGTGATTGTTACAATCATCGCTGTATAAGAAACAATGACATCACTAAGAGAAGACCATCCCCTGCATGAATACTGACTTATACATCCTCTTGAATCATCTCTCTGTCGTCACTTGTAACCAGCTGCATCATTTATCCAGATCACCTAAAAGCACAAACTTCTGCTACATAAACATCTATAAATTAACCGGATGAGTTTAACCTACTTTATTCTTTACTAATAAATCTGTTTTCCATGAGGCTGCAGCTGTCGTTCAATAAATAACATATCATACTATTAATCTTACTCAACTTCCTCAAAAACAATGAGCACTTGATCATGTTCGGGGATTTCTGGACTCAAATCTCTGACGCTTGTGTTACTCATGCTTCCATCTCAGGGACTGTGACAATGGGCAGATATGACACCTCGGTGCAGGGCTCTGCGGACCGGACGGCTTTAAAGGAAGAGGTAAAATACAACATGTAGGAGGTCAGGAAGCATGAGACACAAAACAACCCACATTAGTTCAGTAATTGATCTACTTTGATAATTCAGATTTTGATAAGTGTCTACTTTACCCACACAGATATTGAACAAAAACAAGAATTGTGCAGACATTACCTAACTCAGGGAAACCCGGGATAATTGCCCAGGACACATGCAATCCCTGTTCAGCCCCGAAGGCTTCAGACTCACTTCTTTCAGTTTTGATTTCTTCCTCAACTTGTTACTTATATATCTCTTTAAAAGATCTAAATTGCAGTAGAGGAATAAAAGGTGTGCTAAAGGCTGTATCAGAAGCCCACTGGTGGAAAGTACCTGCAGATTTAAAGACCTCATGAGTGACCCGTCAACACATGGAAAGACCAGCAGGATGTATTTTTTGGGGGGGCTTTTTGATAGGTCAGGTCCATAGGTCTAATTGTGTGGTCTCCTGTTTGTACAGTATGTAACTCTATGGGGAGTATTGTGCATTACTATGGTTTTTATGTGACATGTCCATTTCCACTAAGACATGTAAGCGCTTTTTGAGGGTTTGCACACAAACACATTGACCTCAGTGTAGAGAAAATGAAGGAGAAATGAGAATGACGTGAAGATGCAGATAAGGGTTCAAATTGAAACTATCCTTGACATGATATAGAGCAGATATATTCTATAGATATGAGATGAGATGAGATGAGATGAGATGAGATGAGATTCAACTTTATTGTCATTACACATATACAAGTATAGAGTAACGAAATGAGGTTTGGCATCTCACCAGAAGTGCAAATAAGCAGAAAGTGCAATAGTCTGTGCTATGTACAGTAATTCTGTGCTATGTACAGTAATTGCAAAATTTACAGATGTAGCCAAAAAAAGTGAATTATGAGGTATATCTGGATGGCTGGATTAATGGGATGCAATAAAAATAAATAAATGCTATAAATGAGTAATGCTACAAAATAAGTGTGTTCTTAGGATTATAATATACAGATTAAGATGCAGTGAGCATGCTATACTAATAATATACAGATTAAGGTGCAGTGAGCATGCTATACTAATAATATACAGATTAAGATGCAGTGAGCATGTTATACAAGTTTACAGATAATTTAAAGAATAATTTAAAGAATATGAACAATATGAACATGAACATATGAAGATATGTGTCTGTTGGCTTGATTATAGTTGATGCCTTCTACTTTTGTCAGAGTGTCTTTAAAAGTCTGTGATGAGAAGTTTATTATTTTCATTTTAAATCATTACATTCAGTTTCCTGCTGAAATTCTGATGGCCATTTAACTGTCCTCTGGTTCCTGTTTCCTTAAAAAAAAAAAAAAAACATAAAACCTGAAGAGCTTGAAGGTAAAACAGCCAGGAACACATTCTGAACTGTAATGTTCTCGCGGCTTGAGTTCCGCCACTTATGTTCACATATGTCTGCTTCTCGTTTCATCACAAGACACCTGTTCACTTCTGCTTTCCAGCGTAATGAGAAAAAAAGCCAAAATGTTAAAATAAAAAGGTTGTGAAAGCAGTTTTTGAAAAGCTGCTTTTAGAACTTGTAATAAAAAAACGTTTGTAATTTCATTGGATTTATTTTTTTCTTATTAACTGTAACCTTTTGTCCCACAGGAACGGCATAAAGACAGAATGAAGTGATTTGTTAAACACTGAAACCCTGAAAATACAAATACAACATATCAAAGGTTGAAACTGAGAAATGTCATTCTTTTTGGAAAATAAAAAACAATTTGATGCCAGCAACACTTTTCAAAAAGGACAGGGTCTTGTTTACAGTAATCCTGTTGCAGGATTTTCTAACAATATTCAAATTTTATCTTGTCAGACCTTTAGGACAATGTTGGACTTTACCTCAGTGCATCTATTTTATAATTTTGTTTTAATTGAGTCTTTACACATTCAGGGTTAGGGTGTATTAATTGTGCCAACTGTTTTGGAGACGGGTTGTGCTTTCAGTCTCAGTACTGATGATTTTAAAAAACTTACTTTGTTTTTTCGAATTCACCCTGGATCTGTTGAAAGTCTCCAGGCCAAGATTCAAGATTTTTATTTGTCACATACTCAAACAGATGTGCAGTGAAATGTAAAGACTGTTCCACAAGGCCATGTAATAAACACTCAAATATTACTAATACACATACAGTATTATACAGTAAATGTAGAAAAATAAGGTAAGATTAAAAATAAATAAATATATAATTATACAAAATGTAGAAGATGTAAACAGTGTAAAGTGTCAGGCCACAAACAGTGCTGAGGATTTACAAATTAACTTCCCTTCTTTCCTTTTCTCTGTAGTTCATCTTTCTTCCGAAACAACACAAAAGCCAATTTCAGAACATTTTGTTTGAGTAAGAAGTAGTTTTGTTGAAGGTATATAACAGCACTGGCTGCCATAGCATCAGCGGTTTATTATTGTTTTTAATGTGTTGTCACATATCGTGACTTATTGCTCATGGCCCTGTCATCTTTTGTTTCACATGTTGAGAAATTATGAGTAAATCCTGAAAAATCACACTTCTGTTAAGAAAGAATAACAAAATATAAGACTATTTTTATGATTGAAAAATGGGGAAAAAACAGGTGTTTTAAAACCACTTGCAACCAAGTGGTTTTTTTTAACAGAGGAACTCACATCTATGATAATTGTGAAGATTGCGTGCTATAAACATTTTTAGTTTTTGTGTGTGCATGGGCTGTTCTTGAAAATGTAATCTTAAAATGAATATGTGTGTAGACAAAGGATAACTGTCTTAAATACATACAGCCTTTCACATGTCACCCTTTCAGTTTAAGTACTGTATTAAACAATGTTTGCTGTTGCATCATGACTGAAGATGTGCATATGGCACCATCTAGTGAAATCATTAAGACCTTATCAAACTTTTGCAAATGTTTTCTTTTTTCTTTG